AGAGTTTTCTATCATCCTAAAGACTCACCCGTGCTTTTTCTCACACTGTTCCCTTTTCCCAGAACACCCTCCTTTCCTTCTTCCATCTGCTGAGTTTGTTTGAACTTATCATTCAGGCTCAGCTCAAAAGTTACCTTTTCCAAGAAGTCTTTCTTCACGCTCCCAGGAGAGGGGCTATCTTCCCCATCTGTGACACTGGCACTCTTTTACACATAGCTCTGATTTGGCACTCACCCCCAATGTATGGAAATTATTCATTTGCATGTTTCCCTCCCTAACTAAACTAGGTGTTCCTCCATTCATCAGAGCCTAAACTTACACAGTGCGAAGCATAGAGATGGTATTGACAAATGTTGAAAGAAGTAGAGTCTTATTTAGAGCAGAATGACTTGGACCAGATCCAGAACTCCTTGATTCACTCAGGACATACTTTGTTGTTTTGTTCAGAGGCGGTGGGAGTAGGCATTGATTTTGGACTAGGGGAGCTGAGATCAGCTTTTGTCCTTTTCTTTCTAGTTCATTTACTAGTGTCGCCTAATCCATTGCCCCTTTGGACCAAGTCAGAGGAGAAGGAGAGGAGGGGGAGCACAGGGAGGACAAGGCTGGAATATGTAGATGTAATTTCACAAGGGTGGAGGGACTGTGTTACTTTCTCACAGGTTAGCAGTTGGCCCCAAAGCTTGGTATATATAGATGCAAGATGGACTGTTCAACCATAGATTCCGCATTTGAACAATGGAAAAATATTGTTCATGTACTCTACCAAACAGTATACTGTATAAACACTGCAAGGTAAACAGTATCATAAGGGAAGCAGTGAAGTAGACATTTGGGAGGACAAATAAGGGAGAAGCTGACAACTGAGATGAGCCGGAAGGGGCTGTGAAGATCTGACTTCTTCTATCCTGATTGTACTTGTTGTGCATCTTGTTCTTCACTCACTGTTTTAAATCTGATGACAGATATTTTCAATACTTATCCCTTAAAGGAACGCTAAGTCCCATGCATAGACCACCAGTTGAGTATAAAATCACCTTGAAATTGAACTAAGCTGTTTCTAAGATTAGTTGTGTGTTGCAAACTACCCAGTTGGGGGCAGACAAAACAAACAGATGACTTCTGAATGCTACCAAAAGAATCCTGCATTTCATTGTGTGTTGTTATTTTAATAAGGCAAAGGGCTTTTCAACTCCTAATCAGATTCAGACAGCTTGTTCACAATCTCCGCAGACTGAATACTACAATAGGGTTCCTTTGCAATTATCATATTTTTAACCACAGAGGACAGAGCTTGGGTATGGGCATGAGGAGTGGTAGAGGCACATATATTTTTCTGGACAGTGTGAAATGCTGTGCAGAATATACTGAGAGATTTATAGAGGTACTAACACTGCCAAAACAAACCCTCTTAATAACATCAGATTGCAGGGCGCAGTACATTTACCAAGAGATCATCTTAATTCCCACTTCTCTCTCCCTAAGAGGGTTTACAGTGCCTATTTGAGGGAGTTAAATAAAATCAGATACTCTCCAGTTGTTTTGTTTTCTTCTTCTGCCGGAGAATTCACAAAGAAAGTTTCCATCTTAGATTCTAATGCTTCAGTTTCAATAAAAGTGAGAAACATTGTTGGGCGGGCTCAGGCTCCCAACACCCAAAGAAGTTCTGCCTGACCATCATTTACTCAACTTTACAGGCTTTGTCAATTTTTTTTTACTATCCTTTCTTTTCCTTGGAGGTTAACTACAAGTTCAAAAATGAATCTAGGCCACGTGCGGTGGGTGGCTCACAAGAATGGCTTTAACCTGGGAGGCATAGGTCACAGTGAGCTGAGATCATGCCACTGCACTCCAGCCTGGGTAACAGAGTGAGACTCAGTCTCAAATATATATATATGAATATAAACAAAGTACCAAATCCGGTGCCCAGCCAAAACTTCATTTATCAATTTCTTCTTTCCCTGGAGGAATCAACACACACACAGCTGTCCCCGGTAAGATGAAAGGGAATGAGTCTCCCAGAGCCCAAGACAGAAGTCATAGCAACAGGGGAAACTTCCTACTTATAAATGTGTCTAGGTTGGCAGAGTAATTTCAAAATGGGACTGAGTGGGTGCATTAATTCTGAAAAAGCTCCACATGTGATTTGGCTACAAATTCATATACCACTTCCTCCATGAAGCCTCAAGGGTCTGTCTTTCCTTGGAGACTGCCTCTGTACTCTGGAATTGTTTTGCTTTAGCCCTTACAAAGCTGTTTTGGAATTATGTGTATTTAAGTCTATTTCCCCATTAAACTGAGCTGGAGAGCATAGATTGTGTCTTTTTATTTTCAGTGCCCAGTATGAATTTTGGTACTTAACGAGTGTTTACTAAATTTTTGCTGAACTGAATAAGGATACATCCCACCCACACACACATACAGAGTAAGTCCTCAGTTAATGCCACTGATAGGTTCTTGGAAACTGAAACTTAAAGTGAAAAAATGTACAGCAGGTCCTCAAATTATGTGGTTTCATTCAACACTTTGTTACAAGGATAACGAGGAAAAATTGGTTTTGTTATATGTTGTTTTGCTTAAAATTGCAGTTTCCAAGAACCTATAGACATAGTTAAGTGAGGATTATCTATCTATCTCTCTATCTCTCTCTCTATCTATCTATCTATCCATCCATCTATCCATCTATCATCTTCCCTTCAGTCAAATATGGAAGGGGTTGCCACTAGTTAAAGGTCAATGCAGATTTTTGGAGCAGGGAGATGCTCCGTCCACTCCACGCATCAACCTGATATTGCGGTACCAGGAATGGTATACTCCCTTGGGGAATACAAAAATAAATAAATAAAATAAAGGTCGATGCCTTAGATGAACTGAAGTTTATTTCTCAGGTAGTTCAGTCCAAGAGTGAATGCAATGGAGAAAAATGGACAAAGGACAAGCAGCTGCAAAAGAGGGCCTTAATAAATGGCCTAAAAGACAAACATTTCCCGAAGAACCCCTATGCTATAGGAAAATGGTTGTCAAACATTTTGATGTTGGGAGCCCTGAAGTAGTTTTAAAATACGTCCACAAACCCCTTAATTCTCCCTTCATAAGGTGGAGCTTAATTTCCTCCCTCTCCTTGAGTGTGGATTAGAATTAGTGGCATGCTGGCTGGGTGCAGTGGCTCACACCTGTAATCCCAGCACTTTGGGAGGCTGAGGCAGCTGGATCACCTGAGGTCAGGAGTTTGAGACTAGCCTAGCCAACATGGTGAAACCCCATCTCTACCAAAAATACAAAAGTTAGCCAGGCGTGGTGGCGCAAGCCTGTAATCACAGCTACTCAGGAGGCTGAGGCAGGAGAATAGCTTGAACCTGGGAGGTGGAAGTTGCAGTGAGCTGAGATCACACCATTGCACTCTAGCCTGGGCGACAAAGTGAGACCTGTCTTAAAAAACAAAATGAAACAGAAAACCACAAAGAATTAGTGGCTCGCTTCTAATAAATCAAATATGCCAAAATTGATGGTGTACCTTCTTCCAACAACCAGAACTAACTTGCTACACTTGCAAGTGAGCCACTTTGGAAGTTGGTCCTCCAGCCTCCATCAACATTTTGAATGACTGCAGCCTCAGGATCCCAGAGAGCTTTCGGTTATATTATATATATCTATTGATATTTACTGTTTTAAAAAATTTTTTTAAATTTAAATTTATTACTAATTTAAACTAGCAATTATAGACTCATTACATGTTAATATAAATATTAATAACATTTCATGAAAACAGTGAGAAAAATGGTATCATTTTTCATTTTTGCAAGCTGTCTCTGCTCTCTGACTTGATAGGGGACAGGTAGATTCTTCTATTGACTTCTCCATTTAATCTGTTGCAACACATTGTTTTGGTTGAAGTATATGAACAATATCCAGCTTTACACAAATATGTAATGAGCAAAAGGAAAACCTCATAGATGCCCTGAAAGTGTTACTGGGACTCCCAGCAGTCCTGAAATCACATTTTAAAACAGCTGTTACAGGGAAACTAGGAATCCATTAGCTTGAAGTCAACAAAAGAGAAACAAATGAGGACTTTCTGAAATGCTTCAGTGGGGGAACTCTTTCAAGTTGCATTACTGGCTTCTTTCATCCTAAACTATATCATAAAATGCTAAGAATTACCACCTCAGAAACATTTATAGGAAAATGAGAGAAATGGAAGAGTTTAGCCCAAATCTGGGATGTTACTTAATTCCTTTCTTCATTTTCTATCTATAGGCCAATCTTACTTAACCCCCTCAAGGTCAATAGGAACAACTCATGTCTAGATATTCTTGAGCCAGTGGCAAGGCTGGCTACATGTGCAGTCTTTTCAGCAATTCTAGAGTTGTGTTGGACTTCTGATACACTTTCTACCCATTTGTTGTTTAAAAAAAAAAAAAAAAAAAAACAGAATGGGGACAGAGGGACTCTGGATTAGGGGAGAAGGGATGAAGAAAATAAGAAACAAACCTGGAATTTTGTCCCTTGACTAATGTTTTAAGAACTAAGAACCGGATCCTTCATTTTATCATTTTTAAAAGAGCGTGTAATGTGTGCAGTGTCTGTGTATGTGTGTGTGTATACACATGAATGTGTCTCACCAGCTTCTCTCTGGTGAATTTGACTCTGACTCACTGTTAATAATGGGAAAAGCTATGAAGCAAGCCACAAAATTGTGAGGCCAGATTGTAAGCAGAAACTATTTTGCTTAATCAATAACAGTTCTTGAATAGGGAAGTCCTTTCCACACATGTTGCTGTACTAGATATTTATGAACAGTATATTTATATTTAAATATGGCTTGGAATATAATACTATATATTTTTTTAAAACACTGACAGATGATAAAATTTAATTAATCAAGCACTCTACTCAGAAGAACTAAATAACATGTATTTAAGAAGTTTCACTCCAGTGGTTTTTTGACCTTAAAATACAATTGCTAATTGTATGCTGGAATAGAGAAAAAAGAAACCTCTCACCTTCTTCGGCTGGATAAGGTTTCCTCATGTTCTACATGAGCAACTTTTAATACTTTCTTGTCAATAAACAGATCTTCAGGATAATAAGCAGATCTATATTGGCGTTGTTGAGAATGGGCACATAACTTGCCAATCTGAAAAAAGAAATGCAATATAATTACATGATACTTGCACAGATACGACAGTAGAAACAAATTCTGAAAGACACTTCAATTTCTTCCCCCAATTTTAAATAGAAGAACAAAGCTATGACTAGAATCAAAAAAGGTGATAAACTTGTAAGGCAAAGAACCATTGGTGGAAAGAAGGCTGAAGAAAGGTGTTAATACATATGAAGAAGTTCACAAAACGGAACTGCAAAATTTAGGAAGAACTGGTGCAGGAGATGGGGGTTGTGTAGCCAGTTAACAGAAGAGCAGCCTCCCAAGCACAGAGTACTACCAGTTTCTGTGAGTATTTTGTTATAAGACCCAAGCTAAGGTACTCTGGAAAAAGTGTGGTTGCTCATCTGGCTTTCCTAAAAATGCCCAAGGGAAGAAGGCAAGTCAACCAATCAGTAGCCAGTGACAGGTGGCTCACACCTGTTATTCCAGCAGTTTGGGAGGCTGAGGCCAGAGGATCACTTGTGGCCAGGAGCTCGAAGCCAGCCTGGGCAACACAGCAAGACTCAGTCTCTACAAAAAGTAAAATATTAGCCAGGCATGGTAGCATACACCCGTAGTCCCAGCTACTCAGGAGGCTGAGGTGGGAGGATCGTTTGAGCCTAGGAGGTCAAGGCTGCAGTGATCCATGATTGTGCCACTGCACTCCAGCCTGGGTGATAGAGGGAGATCCTGTTTCTAATTAATTAATTAGCCAGTATCATCACCTATGAATCATATATCATTAATTAAGCCCAGGATTAAAAGTATTTAAAAAACATAGGTGCTTGAGAGTCTCCCTTTCTTCCTTCCTCCATGTCTCCTTCCTTCCTCCCTTCTTCCGTCCCTTTCTTCCTTCCAGCTTTCCTCATTCATTCATTCAAAAATATTTATTGGATCTCTCTAAAGCTGACTTCTTTTACACTCAATAGCAATACTTTTTTAAAAAATGGCATAATATTTCTTAGCTCCATTGTACTTGTTTCTTTTGTTTAATTATTAGATTTGCTACTTTTTTTGCTTTCAAGCAAAAGCCTAAATGAACTTTCATGTAAAGAAATATGAATGTGAACATTCTTATATATCTCCCCTGTGCCGGACACTATGCCAACTATTATCATACCCATTTTAGAGATGAGGAAATTGAGGCTTAAGGAGTTAAGTGACTTGCATAAGGCAAATAAACAGTGGACTCACTTGTCTGACTTCAAACCCATTTGTCTGACTTCAAAGCTTATGCAACATTGCCTCCCTAGCAGATGATGCTTGACTTCCAATGGCTTACATTCTACATTGTAGAAAAATATAAATAATTACCAATCCTCAAAAACATAGTCACCCAACATAGCCAAGGTGAATATATAAACTGTAACCTCAGGAAAAATATTAGAAATATCTGAGAAGGAGAAGGGTTGTATGTTTGTCACTTTTGTACCTCCACGCTATTCAGACTGGATTTTGTGCACTGTTAGGTGAATTAATTGAAGTGAATTGGAAGAATCTTATATCATCAGGCTCAGATCAGCACTCTACTTATAAGCCATGGACTCTGTGTGGTAATCCCAGCTTCTGGATTTCTCAAGATAGCCCTGACAGCATTTACTAAGTTACCTATTTATACAGCTTTGGAAGGCTTTTCATATAAATAAAGTCTCAAATTAGAAAAAAAATCTAGAATCAGAGTAGCATCACCTTCATTTATAAAAGAGAACATCTATAGTTTTATATTCAGATTAGCTATACTCAATAGTTTACATTAATGGGACTAAAACAAAAGCCAAAGACACTTAAAGACATTCAATTTGGCTTTGGAATGCATGATACTGAATTTTTCAGATGTGCTTATGTAATGCTATTTGACTTGGGCTAATATTAACTTCAAACAAAGTGTGTGCATTCCATGAATATGCCTTAACTAGCAGTCTGGTAGGGTGCTTTTAGGTCAGGGGCTGCCTGGCTGGACTATGGAGTTAAGTTCCAATCATTTTCAAAGCATAGAATGCAGATGCCAAATAACTGAGGGCAGACTATGTATCACCACTTTCTATCGGAAGACATACACGTGTTTACTTTGTGAAAATGCAGGTGAAATTTCATGGAAAAAAACCTTGATGTTTGTTCCATAAATATCTATTATTCTGTGAACATTTATGTGAGAGCTTATTTCACTAAGATCAAAGTATTCTTAACACATTCAGGAACACAGTACACATTGCCTTGACCTACATCTGTTCCCAGTCCAGCACCAAAACCAAATCTTTCACACGTCTTTCACAGTAACTTGTCTACTTGCAACCCACAGCTGTGAAATTTCCCTCCCCATTGCAAGTCAACCCTTTCTATCAATGAATACTAATTGGTCCAAAGCAAGACTTGAAAGTTTTTAGCCCCCTCCCCGTCACTTGCCCAACCTGGAAAGGGGTACAGCTGAGGCAAAAGTAGGAAGGTTAAGAACAAATGATAATGCAGCCAGTCTGCAGTCTGATCTTTCTTCCCAAGCAACCCAGTGTAGCATTATCAAGCCAACTTTCCAAGGCTCTGTGTGGCGGAAGAGGCAAACAATGTTGTCGGGCCAATAACCCCACTCCTCCATCTGAAACGTCCCACATCTTATCAGACAGGCTGTATTTTCTTCCACAAATCTACCATGAAGCAAATTCTTCTCATATACAAAGCGTTTGTCAAATACATTCCCTCCTTTGGGTCCTTCTCCCTACATCTTTCACCTCCACACCATGTGAGCTGTAGGGGAATATTATGAGCTCATTTTGAGAACTGGACACTAAAGGAAAACATAATGTATAAAGTGATGCAGCATTCACATTAAAGAAGTCCTTTCAGCTTCACACTTGCGAAATGTCAGGCTATGCTGGGAGACTTGAGTCTTACTCTTCAGCAGCCCCTACTGAAGAAGCCAGCCTCCCAAGTGGTGTTTTAGAAATGAGTATCCTGCCCAGGAGTTTTAGGCTCTTAAATAAAAAGTGCAATCCAATTTCCTTTTACAGACTAATGTATCTAGTCAAGGATGCTGCCACCGTCAAATTTAGTTAGTTGGAGGGAATTTATTGGATAGGTGAGTGTCTCTATCAAAAGACTGGAATATAAAACCTTTTTGTTTTTCATAGACCATGATTCCTAATGCTGTTTTTATTTATGTGCCAGACCTGTGACAGGGAAAGCAATAGTGCTCTGCAGGGTTACAAGTCCTGAAACATAAGAAGGCAGGGCCTCTGACCATATCCAGGCCAGGAAGACGTTTTAGTAACCTTAGCATCAGTCTTTTCTGCCAGGATCCAGAAGCACCATCCTTGTACCTACATAAGGAAAATGCACTGCTGGGACCCAGCATGGTATAGATCAGGGGTGTCCAATCATTTGGCTACCCTGGGCCACGTTGGAAGAAGAAGAATTGTCTTGGGCCACATATAAAATACACTAACACTAACGATAGTTGATGAGCTAGAAAAAAAATCACCAAAAAATATCATAATTTTTTTTCTTTTTAAGACAGGGTTTCACCATGTTGGTCAGGCTGGTCTTGAACTCCTGACCTGAGGTGATCCACCCGCCTTGGCCTCCAAAGTGCTTGGATTACAGGCGTGAGCCACTACGCCCAGCCTAAAATATCATAATGTTTTAAGAAAGTTTATGAATTTGTGTTGGGCCACATTCAAAGCCATTTGGGCTGCATGCAGCCTGCAGGCTGAAGGTTGGAAAAGCTTGGTCTAGATCATGCAGAGCCCAGTAGGCTGGACAACAGGAGGCCTGGCCTGCCACCCCACTTCCACCTTTCACCCACAGCAGGACTTTATTGTGACCTGGTCCCATAGCTGCACTCTACCTGTAACTCTAGCCCTATACACAGGAGAAAGATAGGATATTTGAAGTGCCATATTGTCTTCTCAGTTTCCTTGGGAAAAAAAAAAAAAAGGTGAAAATTACTTTCTGAGTGGAGCACGCTATTGTAGGGCAGGGAAAGTTTTATTTTCTTGACCTATGGCTGAGACACCTGTAATAAAAGACAGATTAAAAAGAAAAAAACATACAAATATATTTAATATAAGTTTTATGTTTAATATAAGTTTTATGTCACCCAAGATCCTTTAGAAAGGAAGACCCAAAGAAATGCAGAAAGCTATGGATTTTTATGCTAAGTTTGTTAAGGAAATGGAGAGTGGTGAAGTGTGATTGGACAAAGAGGGTATAACTGAATGGTAATAAACTGGGGAAACTTAGCCAGGACAGTTTCTTCAGATTTTTCTGTGTCCCTGTATCTTTGGAGGTAAAGTGTTTCTTTCTTTTGGGTATAGGGTGAGCACCTCTCACATGATGGTCTTATGACATACTTCAGAAAAGAGTCAGTTAGGTTCTATGACCTGCTTCAGGGGAGAAGGGGTGAGGGGAAGGTGAGAGTGAATTTCTTGTTTTTCTGGTTTTCGTAAATGCCAAGGTGCCGTATTTTAGGGTGTTGTGTCCTGAACCCCATCATTACCAAAGATTTTGAAGTCATGCAAAAATTTGGTCTGATACAATTTACTCCTACACCCTATAATGAACATGTTAAGAAATGCAGCTACTCTGTTGGTTAAAATCTAACTGTATTCATTCTCAGGCCCCTATTCACTGTTGGTTTTGGGAATTCTCAAGTGACAAATAAATTCAGACTTGATCTTTCACTCCAGATGGCTAAGCAGGAAAGAGAGCCTATATTGAAAGCTTTTCAACAATACCAAACACTTCACGTTTGTTACACAATAACCTATTCCAACCTAGTCCTTCACAGATAACTCCTACATCCATTCTCCATTCTCTTCACTAAGTCCTACCAACAACCCTTTGAGGTATACAGGGCAGGTATTACTTATTTATGCATTTCTTGAGACAGGGTCTTGCTTTGTTGCCCAGGCTGGAGTGCCGTGGTGTAGTCACAGCTCACTGCAGCCTTGACCTCCCCGGGCTCAGGTAATCCTCCCACTTCAGCCTCCTGAGCAGCT